AAGGGTAGTGAGCACTCTTAACCACTAAAGCCTTCTCTCCAGCCCTTTTATCATACTTTCTGAAGGCAGACATAAAAGTTCCAGCTATCAATAATGATCAGGATGTTCTACTCATCCAGCAATTGTTCCTCTTTATAAGCTTCTAACAGAACATAATAACTTCTTTTTCAAAATGAGACTCAAAAATATAAATGTATAGGTAAAGACAAGAACAAAAAATGGGGGCCAAACTAAGGACCATTCATGGAGATAACCCCTGCACAGATGTGGCCATGGCAGTTCAGTGTCCAAGTGGGTTCCATAGTAATGGGAACAGGGACTGTCTCTGACATGAACTGACTGGCCTGCTCTTTAATCACCTCCCCCTCAGGGGGGTGCAGCCTTACCAGGCCACAGAGGAAGACAATGCAGCCACTCCAGATGAGACCTGACAGACTAGGATCAGAAGGAAGGGGAGGAAGACCTCCCTTATCAGTGGACTGGAGAAGGGGCATGGGTGGAGAAGAGGGAGGAGGGTGAGATTGGGAAGGAGCTACAGGTGAAATACAAAGTGAATAAACTGTAAGTAATAAAAATTTAAAAAAATAACATTGGAGAAGTGGGAGGGAGGGAGGGTGGAACTGGGAGGGGACAAGGGAGGGGGCTACAGCTGCAATACAAAGTGAAAAAAATGTAATTAGTAAAAAAAATAAATAAATTTAAAAAGGGGGGGGGGGGCAATGACACAGCTCAGAGTGCTTACCTAGTACCTACAAGTCCCCAGTACTATACAAAGCTATGTGTGATGGCACATGCTTGCAATCCCAGCATTCGGGAGTTGAATATATGAGTTCAAGGTAATCCTTGATACACAGTGAAAACCTATCTCAAAGACAAACAAAACAAAACAAAAACCCAAAGACATGGGCTTAGGTAAAAACGAGAATTGAGTTGCCTCTTTCAAAGACAAGAAGCTCTAAAAGGTACTGTATTGGTGATTAAAATGGTCTAGCCCTCTGACGCTCTATAGGGTAGCCATAAATATATACAGCTGTTGAACACTAAGAATGTGGTTAGTACATAAGGAAATAAACTGTTGATTCTGCTTAATTTCAGGACATCTAAATGTAAGTTGGCAAGTGTTAACTAGTGGCTCCCTAACTGATCAGTAGCTCTGGGTTGTCTGATTTCTAACCAGAGGCAATTCTTCCCACCCCATCTGGAGCCATTTTTTAATTGTCACAGCTGGGAGTGTACTGCTAGAATACAGTGGATGAAGGCCAAGAATTCTGTTAAACATGTTGCATTGACATGAACTTCCCACATAGAAGAATCAGTTGACACAAATATCAGCAATTGAAAAGCTTAAGAAACTTTCCTGAGTTTGTTCAAGGATGGAGTTAAAGGAAACACAAAACAAATTGCAGCACACCTTGTCTAAGCAGATTATCCAGGAATAATGACATTTTTTGATTCACTATGAAAAGGTTTAAAGCAGCAAGATATTACTGAAAAGTGCATGTGGTGAATAACTGAATATGGTCCCTTATGGCCACAATAACTACTTCCTGTGCTAGTACTAACTTCAATATTAACCTAATACTAAAACTATATATTATCCAGGATCTTGTTTTCTGTTTTCTTTTTTATTTATGTGTGCATGTGTGTGTGCATGCCAATTCTGTGCAAATACATTCTGAAGCCAGATGTCAGATCCCCTGAAGCTGAGTTACAGGTGATTAGGGCCACCTTGGATCCTCTGAAGGAGCAGTTCATAGTCATAATCACTAAGCCATCTCTCTAGCTCCAGAACCCTGTTTCTTACACGTTGAACGTAAGATGCTAGAGGATACCTACCCACTTAAATTTTTTTTCAGATTTATTTTATATGTTATGGGTGTTCTGCTTGCATGTCTGTCTGTGCACCACATGCATGTCTGGTGCCTAAGGAGGCCAGAAGAGGGTATTGGATCCATCCCACGGAGCTGGAGGTTCGGACAGTTGTGAGCTGCCATGTAAGTGCTGGGAATTGACCTGGGTTCTCTGAAAGCAACAAACGCTCTTAAACACTAAACCATCTTTCTGGCCACATTACTCAGTTTCTTCCCACCCTCTCTGCAGATTTACTAACAAAGAACTATTCTCAGAGGAAAGATCAACTCAGTTCTTCCCAATCCCTCTTTCTACTCTCTTAGTTTGAATTTCTCATCCTTTCAATTAGTCTATCTGGTGTGGAGTCATCACTCATTTCAGATACCACTGTGAAAGAAACCTAAATAAATAAATGGAAAAAATTAAGGCAAAGAAAGTGACTGTGATGTCATATTTGCAAGTCTGCATATCACCTCAAGAAAAAAAAAGCAGAGCTACATTGTTATAAGTTGACTAAGAGACATGTACAGAGCGATTCTACTGAGTAAAGATCACATACTACAGCCTATGTCAGTTTCTCAACCTTCCCTCTAATGCAGTTCCTCATGTTGTGGTGACCCCCAAGCATAAAATTATTTTGTTGCTTCTTCATAACTATAAGTTTGCTGTTATAAATACTAATGTAAATATCTGATATGCAGAATATCTGATATGCAACTCTTGTGTGGTCACAACTCACAGTTTGAGAAGCACTGTTCCAGAAGAAGAGATATTGAAGTTTCAGAGAATGATTATCAAATAACACTGTGGTTCTATAAATTATGCATGGATCAGATAAAGTGGGATCATTCAGGAATTACTCAAATAGTTCTCAAACTTATATTAGAAATGTAGAATCTAGCCCAAATTAGCCTATTCCTCAAAGAAACTGGAGCAATGAACATAATTCCATGTTTCAGTTCAATTTAAACTATTTCTCAGAACACAAAGTCATCTAAATTCATATGACATGAAAACCTTTTCTGTCCATTTATTATTAACAGACATTATTCACTATACTTAAAGTTCTCTATTACTTCATGGAATATAAAAATAGAAGCCCTAGCCTTTTTTTTTTTTTTTTTTTTTTTGAAACAGGGTTTCTCTGTGTAGCCCTGGCTGTCCTGGAACTCACTCTGTAGCCCAAACTGGCCTCAAACTCAGAAATCTGGCCGCCTCTGCCTCCTGAGTGCTGGGATAAAAGGCGTGCACCGCGTGCACCACCACCACCACCACCACCACCACCACCACCCAAATGAGCCCTAGCTTTTAAAATAAAACTTACATTTATAATTTTCACACTGGCCTAAGGCATCAACTTTCAGCCCACATATTAATTCCTCAAAGTTCACTGCAATTTAAGTTCCATCCTTAAGTATGTTGACGTTTTAGTGCCTCTTCAGATTTTCTTTGGAGGGTTTAAAATATTTAACATCACTTTAGTACCATTTACAGTAGGGTTTCTACCCACTTTCAGTTTTCAGATATTCTCAGAGGAAAGATCATCTCAGCTCTTTCAGGTTTCTAGGGGAAGACATAAAGCCTTATTGAGAAATGGTTGGAACATTAGCAGCGTCGTTCAGTATTCAACTACTGGAGTTATACATATGCTGTCAACCAGTTTTCTCAGCTTCTGCATTGCTGATATTTCTCTGTCCTGTGCAACAGAGGACAGCATCCTTGATTGCTTCTTACGAGGTCCCAGCAGCAACTCCCTTGTACTCCCGGTACTCGAGTCTAAAACATCGGCAGAAAAATCTCAAATGTCCCTAGGGAACAAACCTAACTCAGAGTGGCGAATCACCAATCCTGAGTGAAACTCTTGGTACCAAAAAGTAGACACTATGCCAAGGGGGGAAAAAAAATGTATCTTCGTCCCTGATTGCTTTCCACCCAAATTATGCTAAACAGTTGAGAAGCAAGATATTGCCACCATGTACACATGAAGACATCTGGCTTAATTACTGCCTTCAACTCTCCAGTGACATGAACACAACTACAGCAGCTGCTTCTTTGGAAAAGGAATTCCAAGCCAGGCATGATATTACGGCCCAGTCCTGTAATATCACCAGTTTGGAAGGCAGAGGCAGGAGGATCACTTTAAGTTTGAGGTCATCGTCTATAGTGAGTTACAGACTAGCCAGGGTTGGTGGGGGTGGGGGGATAGAGAGAGAGGAATATTTAAAAACAGAGAAGGGGGGAGTTGCAGGGAGGAAGAATTTATTACACCTGTAGGAAAAACTAAATTTACATCACATCAGATAAGCAGAATTTCAAGAAAGGACAGAAGACAGAATGTTAAGCACTGAAAGCAGGTTCCATGAAGAAACCCAAGCACCTGTTCTCAATTGCTCGCCTTTAGATGGGAACAATCAGAATCTATTTAACACGCCAGGGCAGTCAGCCAGGTCCACCGGGGTGCTGTTGCCCCCGGGGTGAGCAGGATTCGACGCTGGTTCCCGTGGAATTGGGGCTGACCTGAAGGCCTCTCGTGATTCTCATAAAGAAGAACCCAAGACGTTGTAAAACCAGCTGGGACTGCCCCTCCCCGAAATAAACTCACCATTTACGGAATACCCACCCCTTTTCTGAATCCTAGGGGTTCTGGCCCGGATTCGCAAGCGACAGCATCGGAATCACGTGGGGAAACTTGTTAAACTCAACCGAGTTCCCGCCCACCACAGCTTCAGACCCAAGGCTGCAAATCCGTATTTTTACCAAGGTCCCCAGGTGATTCCTACGCCCTCCAAAGTTCTCAATTTGTCTCCTATCTTGAAAAACACTGGACATCTGTGGCCTTTGCAGTGGGCTCCGCAACAACTAGGGCTCCTTCCCGTGAGTTTCTGGGGCCCACACCGATTGCGCCTGTCATCCCACAGGACCAGCGCGGGTTCAGGCCAGGCCCCAAGCCAAGCCTCAGCGAAGCCAGGCCGGCTCCCACAGCGCCCAGCCCACCTCCCTCAGCCACCGAGCCCCGTGACGTGGCCAGGCGCGGGCCGGACGCCCTCCTTCGGCGAGCCTCCTTAGCACCCGGACGCCCTTTTCCACGGAAAACAGTCGCCCGGAGGCGGAGACCGATCCCGCAGCGCCGCCGATTCCTCCGTACCGACCTTCTCCAGGGACGCGTCCATGGCTGAGGTGTCCCGCGATGTTCCCGCGGCGCCGGGCTCTACTTCCGCCTCCCGCGGCCCGCAGCGGTTTCCACGCTGGCAGCGCTGACGTCCCCCGCACCCGCAGCCGGCGGGGCGGAGAGGAGGAGGAGCAGGCCCGCGGCGCGGCCGGCAGGGACCCTGCGGCTTACGAAGGGCGGGGCGAGACCTGCCGGGCTGGGCGGGGCCTCCCCGCCCTCCGTTGTCGGGCGTCTCGCCGGCCGGTCCTAACGCTGCCGGGTGGGGAGACCGGGTGTATAGGGTGGGCCAAACTCAACCTTTACATAAGCCTGGCGTGACCCTCGAGGTAGAACTGTAATAACCACTTGCGATATCCACCAGGGAAAATAGTAGCGACTCATGTGCATTCCCAGAGCCAGGCTTCCAAGTCCTCCGTTGTCAACACCCGTCAGGAATGGAATGGTCCGTCTACCTCCTAAACCTGAGGCCAGCGCCCGCTCCTGCGCTTGCGCGGGATGAAGACTGTTGAGCGTTCCAAGATTTTGTTGTTGTTGTTGGGCTGGGTCGTTGCCTATGTTCTTCAGTAGCTGCTGGTTTGGAGGAGATACCGGCCGGAACTGAATGTATTTCTGTCAGCTTTTCCGTCAGAAATCCAGATAGAAATGAATTTGAGACCGCTGGTCTGGCGTCCTCCCTCATGTCATAATGATGGCTTGTCGGGGGATGGGTAATAGGTCTGTTGCCGTTCCATTTTATATCACAGCAGCCTTTTGATCATTATTATCCGTGTTAGGGCTCTCTCCTCTGCACCCCCGCTAGGTGGGGGTGGTGCATTTTTACTGAGTAGGAGTGGGCATGATTTGTTCCCTACTTCGCTCTGACTACTGATGGTTAACTGAAATGGGATATATCGCTGTTGGGGTCACCGAAAACTTCCTGGCCAGAAGACTGATGATGCTAAAAACCACACACACACACACAAAATGCGTCGCCTATCAAGCTTGGGTCACCTTGTCACTGTAATTAACTGGCCTGCTTGTGTTAATAAAAACATCTAGCAAAGAATTTGTGTGTGCTGCTTTAGAGTGGGAAAACCAGTAACTCTCCAAAGAACTGGGGGGGGGGGGGGGGAGGAAGGAATAATGAAATGGTACCTCTCAAAGACTGAAGGTTGAATATGCTCCTGCTTGAACAAAACAACGTGTTATGAAAATTTCCAAACATTTAGAAAAAGTGAACTGCAGTGTGCCCACTAGCTAGATTACACAGTTACCATTTCTTATATTTGTTTTAATCACATATAGATTCAGATAACTACCCATCAATATATTAGAGACTAATATTATTGTTAGTTTTTAGGCAGAGGCACAAGACTCAGCCCCCATGAGTTGGGGGCCCGTCTAGGATACATACCAATTCCAAACCAGTCACACTACTTTTCTGAGACCCTGAATCCAAACGAAGGGGTCAGCTGGTAAAAGTGCTTGCAACCAATTCTAATGACCTGAGTTTGATCCCTGGAACCTATGTGATGGATACGGAGAACCAACTCCTGCGAGTTGTCCTCTGACTGGCATGTGCATGCCCAGACATTCAAATATTTTTAAACTATATTATAACAACAAAAACTGCATAGGCTGTAGAGATGGCTTAGGAGGTAAAGGCCTCTACCACTAAGCCTGGACTTGAGTTTGATCCCTGAGACTCACATGGTTGAAAGAGAACCAACTCTGAAGTTGTTCTCTGACTTCCACATGTGGACAATGGCACACACGCACACACATAAGAGCACTCAAAAAAATGTATGAAAATTTTTAAAAAAGAAGCTCATAAGTGTAAAGTTACCTCTAAGTATTTCTGGATTCTTTTAAAAAGTAGATTCAAACCAGGCCTGGTGACACATGCCTTTAATCCCAGCACTTAGGAGGCAAAGGCAGGTGGAACTCTGTGAGCTCCAAGCCAGCTCCTGATACACATACAGGAACCTAGCCTCAAAAAAACAACCAACAACCCCCCCCCCAAATATATATTCAATCTCTACCGACATATATGATGAACTTTTTGCATCATTAGTATTAAGTAAGATAGGGTCTCATTATGTAGCCCTGGCTGTCCTGCTAGTCATTGTAAAGACCAGCCTGCCTTGAACTTGAAGCAATCCTCTTATTTCCCAAGTGCGAGGATTATAAGTGGGAACCATCATACTGAATTAAGACTTTTCCTGAGAGCTGGAGAGCTGAAGAGATGGCAGTTAAGAGCACCTTAATTCAATTCCCAGCACCCACATGGTAGCTCACAACTATCTGTATCTCTAGTCTTGGGGTGCCATGCACATACAAGTAGACAAAACACTCATTCTCACAAAAATAATAATAAAAATTATTATTGTTTTGCCAGGGGTTTTATTTGTTTTTGAGACAAGGTCTTTCTATGTAACCCACACTAGCCTCAAACTCACAGCATTAGTCCTGCCTCAGCCTCTCAAGGGCTGGCATTAGAAACATGCACTACAATGCTCACCTACACAACTTTAAATGTAGTATTTAGACATAAAGAAACCACTAGAAGAAATAAAATTAAGTAACAAAATCAGAAATCGGAGCTGATAGGAGTGATAGTGTAAATGACAAGTTTTCAGTAGTTTCTAAATTAAGGACCATGTCTAGCAGTTCTAGTGAACATCTGTAGTCCCAGAAATTGGGAGGCAGAGGCAGGAGAATGAGATGTGAGGCAGAGACAAGAGAATCCACCAGCATCTTGTGGGCACTGAAAGCCTCAGCAGAAAAACAAAAACAAGGGAACCCTGCCTCAACAAAGCAAGAAATGACTCCCCAAAATTGTCCTATGCACATTCTGGCACAGGTGTGTGACCCTCCCCCAAATAGATAAATAAATTCACTAAAAAATAGATTCCAACATTTTAAAAATCACAGTGAACAATTTCAGAGATAACTGAAGTAAAGAACAGCACTTAGAAATAGCAGCCCTGAGAGTACTTGTGCCTTAGCTTGCTTCCATAGGACTAACACAGGATTTAAAGAAATGAATGACCAAACACGACCATGCTTTACTGTTAAAATACAGGCAAAACAAATGAATTATCAGTCAGGCATGTTTTCTAATACCTTGTCCCAGCACTTTTTAGGCTGGAGCAGGAGGTTTGTGCTTTCAAAGCTAGCCTTCAATTTAGAGTGAGGATTTGTCAAAAAATTAAAATAAAGAGCAGTGGTACCTGCCTCTACTCCTATAACCCCACTGCGTTGGTAGAAATCAGGGTTTGAGAATGATACTAGCTACATGTTGTTGTTATAATGAAAGAAAATCCCAACTGTTCAATTTTACCAATGAAGACTCAGGAGCTAGCGGTGCTGGGGTTAAAGCCTACTAACTCAGAGAGACAGAGAAAGAACTGATCTTCCTACCCAGTTCACTTCCCAAAGGAAAAAGCCAAAATGCCAAAAAGTCAAAAAGCCAAAAGCCCAAGGCCAAAAACTTGCTAGCTCACCCAACAGCCAAAAGCTCAATGCCAAAGGGCTCTTTCTTCTCCACATGGTCTTAGATACTCTTCTTTCAAAGTTCCTCCTTTCTACTTAATCCTCGTCATCTGGTTTCTTGCTCTGCCTCTTGATCTAGGGTTAACTTTATTAAATCCTGTGTACGGAAAGTTCTTGGATTAAAGGTGTGTGTTAGGGCTGAACCACACCAAACAAGAATCATGTTTTACAGTTTACAATCTTGGGCTCACAAGGATCAAATATTCTGCAATATCATGTGAGTTCTGGGCTCATAACACTCTGTCAGGGAGGAAGCTTCCAGGTCATTTTCAGCTTGATTCCTTGAAGTCCTGTGTCTAAAGTGTGTGGTACCTTTAGCAATAAACTCTTACCTTCAAGTTCTGGGAGGCAATCAAGGGCAATGACAATGCCCTGTAGAGTTTTAGGGGTCTCTTAGATACCCCTGACTGGCAACTCAAAGGACATTTTTCTTTCCTGGCACTGGGGTTTCTTTAGATAATTTATGACTCCAGATGGCAGCATCATCTTTTTAAAAGATCCTTGGTGTTATTTTTTTTAACCAAAGAGGTAAAAGACCCCTACAATGAAAATTTTATATTTCTAAAGAAAGAAATCGAGGAAGATAGACATAAAAATAAAAATATCATATCACTCATATGAAGTACAGAAGGCCCTGGAATAGTGTTGGAGTTTTATTTAGTTACATCAAGTTATATAACAGAGCTATCATCCTAATGCTCATTCTGTTGCTATAACAAAGACCATGGTCAAAAGCAATTTAAGGGAGAAAGGATTTCTTTAATCTTTTATCTTACAACCAAGGCAGGAACCTGGATGCTCAAATTAAAGCAGAGGCCATGGAGGAATGCTTCACTACCTCAGCCTGCTTTTTTTTTTTTGGGGGGGGGGGAGGAATTTTTTTTAATATTGGTGTTCTTCATGTATGTCTGTTCGAGGGTGTCAGATCTCCTGCAACTGTAATTACACAGACAGTTGTGCCATGTGGTTGCTGGGAATTGAACTTGGGTCCTTTGAAAGAACAGCCAGTGCTCTTAACTGCTGAGTCATCTCTCCAGCCCCCTCAGCCTGCTTTTTAATACCACTCAGGACTACCTTCACAGGGGTGGCATTGCCCATAGTGGGCTAGGCCCTCCTGCATCAATCATTAATTTAAAAAATGTCTCATAGGGCTAGAAAGATGGCTCAGCATTTAGGAGCAGAGAACCTGGGCTAGAGTCCCATCACCCACATGGTATCTCACAACTATTGATAATTCAAGTTCCATAAGACTCCAAATGCCCTTTTCTTGCCTTTTGGGCATCAGGTAAGCATGTGTAGACAAGATATTCACACACATAAAAATAAATCTGAAAAAAAAAAGTACCCCACAGACTTGTCTACAGGTACTCTGATGGAGGTGATTTCTCAGTTAAGGTTCCATTTTCCCAGATGATTAGCTTGTGTCAAGTTGACAAATGAAACAAAAACCAACTAGGCAGCACATCTATACTAGCAAAAACAGCATGGCACAAAAGCAGACATATGGATCCATGGAACAAAACGGAAACCCCAGTCTAAGTGTAAGTAATTACCTGCATCTGATACTTGACAAAGATGCCAACAATACACACTAGAGGAAAGACAGCATCTTTAATAAGTTGTGTTGGGAAAACTGGGTGTCCATATGCAAAAG